ACATATGCAACTAGGGCAGTGATCAGAGAGCCTTTCGGGGCATGTAATTCAGTGTAATATCAATACAAGAGATGTAAAAATTAACATTGAACATCTCACACATGCAAACATTCAACGCAATATTATCACTTCAAGTGCAATTATTGCAGAAAATTTCATCTCATTGACGCATGTATTGTTACAGTTATTGATAGTTTATTTGATGTCTGATGACAGCATTAAAACGTCCAAGACGAGCCCCGTATGACAGAGTTCCAGGTTTCCGGTTGACAAGTCTGCTGTGGCTTGCCGATTAGGAAGCGTCGGCCACCGACCCCCTCGGCGTTTGCCTGGAAACATAACTACTGGGCACGCCCCGCGTGGGCAGACAAAGGGTGTGCTCGGTACCTGCCGTACATAAAACAGCTCCCACAGGGCTGCCGGTTGGGATATTACGCAGTCGGAAAGTTAGGCAGAGCCAGGGTAGGGATCATGATTACAAGTTGCCGTTGACGGGTATGAGGCCAGAGGCGAGGGTGGTAACCTCTGGCCGAGGATTCTAATAATGCAGCCGTGAGAACGCTGCCCCTAGGCAACCGTTTCGTCCCAGCTATAGCGTGAACTAGTCGCGTTGTGGAAGCCCACTGTGGAATCCCTCTTATAGGGCGTCCGATGCTTTCCCGGGATGGGTTGGGGAAGATATTAGGACGTAATTTTTTCCATCCCAACTCCTGAGAAAGTCGATCGAGTGCACTGTTTAAACTCATAGTGTCGGATCGACCGGGTGCCTCCTCGTTGGGGCGGCCCCCACGCGGGGTCCTGGTCGAGCGCCCGGGAGCCCAGGTGAGGGACTTGGGTGAGGGGCCCGTGTGGGGGCCGTCCTGACGAGTGGGCATCTCCAACGTGCCGCTCCGCCGCCCGATACGTCGGACCGGGGAGGGGTAATTTGGGGGGGGGGCATAAGAGTCTAGACTCGCCCCGCTGACGCCATTTCTTAATGTAACATTTCAGAGGTAAAAAAAAAGGGGACGTCACAATTTTTGACCCACCCCCCACCTTCCCTCTGTCACAAAGTGTCGCACATTCTCAACCCACCCCCCTCTAAGCGTGACGTAATTTGCCAGTGACCCCTAAATGTGAATATTTACTTATAAAATAGTTTTAAATAGATATTTATCAATGATCAAACCTTGATAAATTATTACAAGGGAAAAAACGGCAGAGTCCATTTTGACCCCACTCTCTACTATAATGAAATAAATCATGTTACATTCAAGTTTTAATTACTTTATCTATTTAATAACTCAGGGAAATGGACACTCTTGGGAAATGCATTTTAAAAATTACATTTTGTTTACACATTTTTAATGTGCATGGTTTTGAACTTTAAAAATGGAATATCTCAAAACAACAAAAATGTGAACCTGCCGTTTTTTCCCTTGTGGTCTTCAAGTGTTTATTTATTACATTGTGTACATACACGCATTCTGATTGTGTACAGACACGCATTCTGATTTTGTCGATACATGTATTATGATTGTGTACATGCACACAATCTCAATGTGTACAAACATGCATTCTGATTGTATACGTACATCTGATTGTGTACATACAAGCATTCTTATTGTGTAAAGATTGTGTACTGACATGAATAATGATTGTGTACATGCACGCGTTGTCCAGATTTATTTATGAACAGTAAAAGAACTTAATGAACTTGACCAGCCGTCAAATCGACATAACGAAAATATTCATTTTTTTTTTTTTGTTGTTGTTGTTTTTTGTTTTTTTTGGTTGAGGGGGTGGGGGGTTAAAGTTTTATTTTTTTTTTTTTTAAACAAAAATAATGACGTAATCGAAAGTCGAACAGGTTAAGGGCTGGCGTGGGGGGGGCGGTGGGGGGGGGGG